AATAATAATATGAAATATTATTAAAGTTGCACATATGAAAATATGAGTATATTAAATTGATCAATGTGTGTTAAACTTATTAACCATCACTTATATAACGATACTAAAGTAATTATTTTTATTAAAAAAAAAAAAGAAAAGGAAGTAAACCGAACACTTAAAGATTTCATAATCAAATACTAAGAATCACTTTTTTCCAATCTTACCGAATTTACCCATACCTGTCCTAGACCATAACGTCAAGCAAAAATTTAGGCATAAGAAGCAAAAACAAAACTAGGAAAAAAAAACATATACTATATATATTTTAAGACGACTTAGGTACATACTCTTAAAATAAAACTGGCAGTCGAGCTTTTGGCAATCGGGCTTTGTGCTGTCGAAGGATGACCATGAGTGTGACCATGCGCGCTGAAATATCCACCTGGTTTAGGTTTAATATGCCTGTTGTGCATTTCCATGTGTACGATTTTCATGAATTCTATTTGTGCCGCCAACTTTTGTATTTCCTCCTGAAAACAATGAAACAAAATCAAACGTTAAAAATAATTAATGAAAAATAAAATAATCACAATAAATCGTACACCTTGATCAATCGATAGAAACCCCGTTCCCAGGTGAGATAGAGAAAGAAAAAAAAAAAGAAAACAGTGTAATAAAATAAATCAAACCGGGAGTACCTTCAGTTCTTCGTTTTCTTGAAAAAGATCAGTCGTTTCTTCGGGAACTAATCCAATTCCATTTAATGAGAAACTAGCAGTTACACCTCTTGCACGTGCACGACTATCCCATTGATCTCCGTGACCACGAAGAACCCTAAGTACCTGAAAATATATAATCTAATCATGTAGAAAATTTCCCATAAAACAACACATTGAATTTCTTAAAAATAATAATAATAATAATAATAATTTACCTTGGGTCCGAATACGAGAAAAATAGTTACGGACGTTGATAACTGAGTACGAAGAAAACCTAATAAATATTTGATATCCGGTCCAGCGTGTGGGAAGATGAAAAGGCTGCGAAAGGGAATGGCAAAGAAACAATGAATAGTTTTGTTATATATTAAATAAATTTCGTCTAAGAACAATCGTTCATTATTTTATCATAATCTCAATTAATTTCATTTCTCTTATATTTTTCGTTGGATAATTTTCTTACGACGTGTTTGTTTTTTTTTTTTAATTAACATAAGTGCGAATTTGATTTACATGTATTTGTATAAAAGTTTCATATTTTTTTGTTTTTTATATATATATATATATTGTTAGATAATTTACATACTGTATGGAGATCATGATGATGTTAACTGCAGCTATGTTATAAATGGCGTAGCTTATCAGCCTAGCCTCGTTGAAGAGACTCTCGGCGTTTCGAACGTTGTAACAGACTTTAATGCCCCATGCGAGAAATAGAATCTCTCCTTGAAACGAAACGGCCGGATAGAGTTCCTTGTTAAAGAATCGTTTAATCGTAAAAATCGATAATATCTTTCATAAGTGTAATCGATTAATTACCAATGGCCAGACTATGATCCCACCAATTGAATGAGCATTGATAAAATTTCAGACCGTATTTATCGGCGATCACTTCTGCGTATGGTGGTGCACTGAGTGTCCACGTGCCAAGGTATATTAACATAACCAATAATATCGGTACCATCCATTGTAACAATTGTTTATCCGTTAGTTTTACCTTGTGTGCACTTTTAACGCGATAGGTCAGTGATACTCTGAAAAAAACAAACAAAAAAAAAAAGACAAAAAATGGAACATCAGAATACGATGTTTATCAATTTGTCAGGTTTATTACGTTAAGCTTGTCAAATTGACAGTTGTTTACCTCCAAGTCTTCATCAACAATGCAGTGTAAGAAATACAAAAGCCGAGATGCCTTGTCCACTTTGTGGCTATGCACGAGTACATGTCCAATACTGGGAATATTGCTGCCATCTTATAACAAAATTATAATAATTTTGTAATAAAAATGTGAGATAATCATAAGTAAAATAATGATAAGACATTGTAAAAAACTTTGTAAGTTGTGCAATAAAAACCTGATTATCTATTATATATATAATAATTTTGTAATAAGAATATTAATAATAATTACATCGAGATATCGTGGATCTCGCAACGAAATTATATTTTTCAAGATTTGAAATACAATTGAAATATTTTTAATATAATACTTTTTTCGGAAAACATTCGCACAATCCAATTATATAGAAGATATTTATTAAATATTTTTATAAATAATCTATATATGATAACACATTTTATTGTGACACCCTATATAATGAGATTTTTCGTTAGTAATTTAAAGTGACCCATATAGGGGTCGCATACATACGAGAGTTAATCGAAACTTACCTCCAAATACATAATAGCACAACCCAAAAGCGTGATGGATAAAAATATAGGTGAGGCTACTTTGAATACTTTGAGTTTACGGTGTTGGTACATGTAGGCCACTAGGACGACGGTACCGAAGACGCAAAAAATGGAAAAAGCCAATAACGTAATCCTTGAAAAAAATAATAATTAAATTAGTCAGATTTTTAATTTGGAGAATAAACGATTTCTATGATAGGTATATCAATTTTGTTTCATAGTATATATTGAATTAATTTGAAATACCTAAAGGGCCAATGGTAAGTAGCCAAACAGGGCTCGGGTCCTTTACACTTGGCACATCCTGGAGCACAGCGTAAACATTGAAATTCTTTGACATAAGAATTGCTTATATTTTCTTGCATTTCTTTCCATGCAGCTGAAATATAAATCGTAAATATGATTTTACTAAGAATACTAATTGTTCGATGAATTTTTTAATGAATTTTTTCATCTATCTCTCTCTTTCTCTCTTATGTCAAAATTAGATTAAATCTTTGAACCTTCAACGAGAATCCCATCGAAGCCGGTCTGTTGATGATTCCTACCGTAGAAACCTTGTCGACATTTGCAAATGTAAGCACCCTTAGCCCATCCAGCACCAACACCGTGTTCGTTGATCTTACCATTAGGACTATAATACTCGCACTGTAATTCATTTCAATAAATATCTCCAATTCTAAACATATTTTCATGTCATATTTCTTATCATATGATATTGAAATGAACAAAAAATAATATTAGAATATACGCAGCACTATCATCGTATTATGCAAAAATTATTGTAAATAATTCATTAATTTAAGAAAATATTTAATAATAATTCAATTTTCAAAGCGGTCAGCAGTATCTAACAAAAATTGATTGATCTATTTATAAACAAATATCTAATTAAGCACACACACACACACACACATACATACATACATACACACACCAAACACACGTATACAGAACATAGTTTAAAATAATGTCTATTAGACTAAAGATAAATGTTATGTCTTGTTCACTAATAAGGTTTCAAATTCTCTCTAGAATATCATCTTTATTATCTCGAGATACGTAATTTATCGATAACGTGATCATGCTATGAATATTGAATACTAACTAATAACAATTTGGGGGACAGATAGATAAATAATTTTGTTCTTAATTCTTAAATTAAAAAATTTAAATATATTTTAAATACACAATCGTTTTATTAATTAATTAAAACACACGATATCGATAGATGTTGATTTAATTTTCTTTATCGAATATAAATAAATAAATAAATAAATAATTAATATGCACGTGTTTTTTTTTTAACGATTTTTTTTCGGGATAGCTAGCAAAATGAAATTAAAGGAAATAATGGTTAAATGTTTGTTTGTGTCTCTCTAATCAAAATAAATTACCTGGGTGGTATCGTCGTGACACTTGTGGGTGCCTCTAAAGGATGCTATTTGATTACTCGACGATGCACTATCACCATAGGGGGATGCATTGCATTGATTCACCTCCAAGCCGCTGATATCAATATCCATGCTCAAAAATTCTCGCACACTTGGGAAATAAACAACGGCAAGAATTTATTTCACTAATTTTTGCATCGTGGAAAAAAAGAATCCTCTTGTGAATAATTAAATATTAAAAAGCATGTGTGTGAATCACTAATGGCTTTGACACGTTGTTTCTTTTCTTTGTTTTTTTTTCTCTCTCTCTCTCTCTCTCTCTTTCTCGTTCCTTCTTTTTTTTTATTATTATTATATACGTAATGAATATTTTTTATAAACATATAAGAGAGATATTATTTACTTATAGATGTTTTTGTGAGATAAAACTAATTATTATACGAAACAAGCAACTACTTAAAACTTTATCTTGGATTAAGAATTGTTAGGACAAGGACGAGCCAATATAAAGCTGATTTTAAAAAGAATCAAGATGGTTTTAATGCTTACGTATAATTAAGATATGGTAAATTGTTATATAGAATAATGAATTTCGAGTTTACTAATGTTTTAACTAATTTTTGATTTTTAATCGTAGTTTCTTTTTTTTTCTTTTTAGTGTCAAATAATGATCAGACCAATTATGAAATTGAAAAACGATAAACGTGTAATTATAGAAATAGTTGATATTTAATAATAGAAGAACTACCGGCAATTAATGTTAACCTAATTATATCAAATCAGTCAAAAAATGATTGATCATCTCTCTCACAAAATATTATTTAATAAATTATTTAAGAAATGATAAAAAAACACATGTGTTTATATGAAACAAGTAAAAACGATCGCGAAAATTGATCTATAACAATCGATATTGTACTTGTAATCATTTACGAAGGATAAAAACAATTTACTTATAGAAATATCTTCCTTTATAAAAATGATTAAACGTGTACAATTATCATCCATATCATATCAATATAATCAATCATATTTCTCATCATATTAATTTTTATTTTAACTGATTTGACAGTTCTCTAATCTCAAGATTAAATCGCTAACCACACAATGAAATATATATAATATATATATAAGAATTAGAATATAATAATAAGTTATAAGAAATAGGGATAAAATAATAATAATAATAATTATTTATATTATTAATTAATAATGTATATTATATTAATAAATATTATTATATTATTAATTATATTATATTATTAATTAATAATATATATTATATAATATATATATAGCATTATAATAATATATAATAAAAGAATAAAAGCTAAAGGAAAAAAGGTAGGAAAAAAAGGGATGGGGGGATAAATTGAGGGTTGTACGAACCCGAGTCGAGAATCCGGTGGACGCACGTTGACACTGTAGGAGATGAGCCATTGGCGTGTCTTGCAGGAGAAATACGGGATGGTCCACCAACCCCTGTAGGATTCAATCGCCGGTGACTGCATGAACTTCGGTGACCTGGGATCACACGCAAACGCCACACAACCGTCATAGAAACTTCGACCTCATTTTTTAAACACGCGTGCTTCGTGCAACGCCGAAAAAACGAACGAACGAAACGAATTGCCCATCCCCCCCTCCTCCCCCACCCCCATTGATCGTAGATTTCCCTTTTCCATCCCCTTCGAACCCCTTCTCCCTATCCCCACCCTCGCCCTCGGTCATCAACTGAAAAAACAACCATTCTTTTGTTCTCCTTTTTTTTCAACCCTTTTTTTTTTTTTTTTTTTTTGATTTTCATTCTGTTTGGTGTTTTTTTTTTTGCTCTTCTGGCACTTCACGGTCATCCCGCGTCAACGCGCAAACGTTCTTCCAACGATTTCCATTGATTTATCTTCCTTTTATTCTTTTATTCTTTTATTTTATTTTTTCACCCCCTATTTGTGTGTCTTTTTAATTTTCTTTTTGCTTTTTTTTTTTCTTTTGCAGAGTGGAAACATCGAAAGTTACCAAGGCCAGTCACCACGTTCAAATGATCGGATTTTAAAAATTTATAATTATGAATATTATTTGATATATATTATTTATTTATTATTATTATTATTATTTAGATTAATAACAAATTGAATATCTCATTTGAGTTTATTTGCGTAAAAATATAAATTCGATTAAATACCGATCATTGAATTATCGTTAATAATTTCTATATACATTTATCAATAATTAATTGAGTATATTAATATATGGAATAATGAATGAAACGAAATTATCTTTCATTGTATTGTATTAAAAGCCTGTTAAACGGTCTCAAGTTTCGTGCTTTTAACATCTCCCTATACTAGATTCATTCTCCTTGAAAGAAATTTGTCTCGTTCTACGTTTGATGGTCCTTGTTCGAATTCAATAATATAATCAAGAATATATACAAGCTATTGTAATTCAATACAATTCAATATAGATTTCAATATACACAGTAGAGTAAATACATTATATAATTTTATTCATTCTCAAATGTATTCAATTATTTCTCAAGAATAATTATTATTATAATTAATATTAATGAACAATACAAAGAGATAAAAAGAAAACGTGTTACGTAAAATCGTTGTTAGAACGTTGCTTATCGAAAAAAGAAATATATAATAACTAATTAACGTTAATCATTGTCATTTTCGTATATCGAGTTTCTATGACCTGACGCTCCTACGGGATGATGAAGGATGATGAATGATCGTGAAACGCCTATTTTTTTTTTAATCGTTAATGATAATCATTTCTTCGGTAGAATGTATTTTCTTTCCAGTTTTTTTTTTTTTTTTCGCATTATCTATTCTATTTCAATTGATATTAAAATGAGACAAATAATATTTTACGATTGTCACATCTTGAAATTGAAATGAAATTTGAATTATTAACGCGAAGTTTTATATTTTTTAATTAGTATATGTATATATGTGTACATTCCACCGTTCGAAAAGGGTAATCAATTTAAAATATGATAATGTCATGGTGCTGGATAATTAATTAAATTCGGCAGTGCGTGTGCGTGCGTGCAGGTTAATATTTCAAACATTTTTCAAGATAAATAGAAAGAAATAGAGAGAGAGAGATAGAGAAAAATAAATGTTGACAAAGCTTTTCTCGAATTGTTTAATATTTAACAAATCCTCAAGAATTCGATCCTTCGTTGTTTTAACAATTCAGTAAATGAAATCAAAGTTTTAAACTTGGAGAAACAGAAATTGGGGGCGGGGGGAGAGGATAACTTTGTCCTTTTTATATTTATAATCAATGTGATGAAACATACTAAAATAATAAATAAAATAAAAAGTATTCGCCGTACTTGCGGTTTTTTTTTTTTTTTTTTCATTTTTATTACGCGCGTAATGAAAACATATCGCGTATAATTAAATAATAATAAAAAAAATATATTAATAACCGTGAAAAAAAAAACAGAAAAAAGATGACAAAGAGAGAGAGAAGAGATTGCAACTTTTGCAAACAAGCTTATTATTATTGACTTATACAAATTTACATTAGCGCGAAATTTACGTTAACTCCGAATTTATCCGAAACTTTTATTATCTCTTTTAGAGGAATTACAAAATTTACTTTAACAAACGTGCGACGTGTAAGTTTTAACTGGATACTTTTGTATTTCTAGTTTCAAACTAAAGCTTTGAGAAACATAGAGAGAGAGAGAGAGAGAGAGAAAATTCAAATGATTAACAAACTACTAATTCGACTTTTACATCAGAGTGAAATACCATTTTCCATTTATTTTCCATCAGCGAATTGTTTTTTTTTTTTTTATGTATTCATAAACATCCGTTTTTCCAAATAAACTGAAAAGAATTTATCTTTGATTCGTATTAGTATTTTTTGTTCTCATTTTTTTTCTTCTTTTTACAACGACTACTTTAAAATAATTGTTTGGTAATTAAACCGATCGAAAAAAGCTTGGTCAGATAAAAAGATATCAAGAAAAATGTGAAGAATATTAGAATAATCTTCTTCTTCAAATTTTCCTTTACACATACAATATTTATTTTAAAGAATAAAAATACAAATCCCCATGCAAGAGCTTATCATTTTTCTTTTCTTTTCCAAAAGGGTTTCCATTAATTTTGTTTTAACTTTGAATTGAATTGATTTAATTATATCATAGAAAATAAGCTCTCGAAATGAGAATAGAAATAGAATAATATATTAAGATAAATGTTATAAGTGCATAAGGTTGAGAAAAAAAAAAAAAGAAAAAGAAATGAGAGATAGGAAAGAAAAAATGTCGTGCAAGGGAGACCATCGAACCTTAATCCCGAACTGGCACCAGTATCTTCAAACCATGGTAGATTAGAATTCGGTCTGGATCCTGGTTGCAGAGCATGATCTTCGACCTTGATCGGTTCACCTACGCTTCCTGGACTCCTTTTGAGCCAGACAGCATTGATCACGGTTTTGGTTGATGCATTCAATGCAATTACCCTTGCTTCAACAGCATCGTTCACCGAAAGAAGCAAAGATTTTGCTAAGACGTCCAATAATCCTAAATACCATAATCTTATTTATCTTTTGTTTCGTTTAAAATAAAATTAACATATTAAAATTGATTTATTTTTTTTCAAATCTTTCATTATATCTATTAAAATAATTCATTGTTTATCGGTTTAAATGATAAACATAATTATTTTGGGGCCCGTCATTTCAATCAATAATTTTCTTTCCAAGAAATAATATTTAAATCAATATAAATTCTCAACGTTTTTTTATTTACTTTTTTTCAATATTAAAATTTTATTATTATTAATTACGTTTATTGAAAGAAAACTTATAACAACAAACATTTATCTTTCATTTTAAATCAATCATTTTTTTCTTAAAGATAATTAAATTCAATATTAAAAATATTTAATTATTAAATAACTTATAATTTATATATATTATTTAATAAGACTAATAAAAACTTTATTCTCTCGTTTACGATTAATTATAAATATAAATAATTATTAGAATTGTGAGGAAGAAAAAGAAGAAAAAAAAAAAGGAATAAAGGGTAGAATTTTTGGAGTAGAGGTGCGCAACGCAGGTGATAAGGTGGGGCTTCGTGTCGAGTGATCGATAGACGAGCAAGCAACCCTTGCAAACTCGAATGTCTGTGCACATTCTCTTCTTCCTTCCTTCTTTCATTCATCCCTTCCTTCCTTCCTTCCTTCCTTCTTTACTTTGTTAAAACCGTGGACATGTTTTCCCTTCCCCACCACCATCAACTAACAGCACGTTATTTATATTATCTATCTCTATCTTGTAATAAATTAATAAATACTAATTAATAACGTTCGTTTCTCAATAGAAATGAAATAAATAACATAACAACGAATAAACCGAATAAGTGATAACGAAAAAATGTGAAGTATTTTTTTTATATTTTCTTTTTATTTCTCTTTTTATTTTTTAATGACGTGTTACTTTGTGATGTATGATATATTTAAAAAAAAAAAAAAAATTACTTTCGTTAAATATATCATTTGAAATAAATTTTCTCAACACTATGAGACACGTAATTTATATAGAATTGTACACGGCATATTAATGACAAGAAATATACCGCTTGCACGTGAGATAATAAATTTATAACAATTTTTGTTTTATTCTATTTATAAAATTCTCTTGTCAAATTTTCAGTTAAAATCATCTTTTATATCTGTTCGTTAATCAATTCGAAATTATTACTCAATGGCATATATTTTGTAATTTTTCTATATTTCGAATTTTTAATAGATATAAGTAACATGAGTCTTACCACAAATACGAGATTACGATTTTAATAATTAACTTGTTTTCCTTTATCCCTTTTCCTTTAGGAAAAAAAAAAATAATTACTTTCACGTTATGATAAAGATCAGAATTATCGTGATAAAATCGTTAGACGAATACTATTTTACGTTGTTCGTTGTCATAGTACTAGATTCGAACACTGTAATAATATTTGCATCAAGATTACCCTATTTATTGCATTCGTGGTTCCACGAATGCAATAAACGTGCTCATTTGTAAGTACATACATACATACACGCATATTTTGTTTTCGATCTTTGTGTACACACGAGCTTAGACCGAAGAGATTTACGAGTTAAAAAGAGAGAGAGAGAGATAAGAAGTGTCTAATATTTCGAGTATCACGCTTTTGACCTACTTTTGATCTTCCGCTTGCTCAAACTCGAAATTCAACATTTTTCAAACTATCGTTATCCAACGATACGCGTAATCCAACACCTTTTCATTCAGTCCCATAAAATAAAATTATTTCTTTTTCTTCTTCTTTTCTTTTTTTTCCATAAAATCAAATCAAATTAATTTTTCATCCACTTTTGATATCTCAATTTACGAGAATAAAACAAAAAGATAAGATAGATAGATAAAGTAAGAAATAAAAAGATAGAAAAAGAAGTAAAGAACCAAAGCAAATGACAAGGTTAAAGTTGAAGACGTCTCCCCTCCCCCTTCCCTACCCCTCTACCCCCTTCCTTTGTATAACGGGAGCAACAGGTGAGACAGGTGTTGCGAAATATAGAAGCTACGTTGGGGGAAAGAAAAAAAAGTGTACAGGGCATCGTGCCCAATTTGAAATATTACAAACTTTCTTTCCCTTCCCCCTTCCCCCMCCCCCCCCCCTCTTTTTAATATTATTTTCTTTTCTTTCCCTTTTTCTTTTTTCCTTGTTCTTTGTTCTTTTTTCTTTTCGAGTCGTTCGTTTTAAGCCACGCCCTTTCTTCTTCTTATCGTTATAGTTTTAGCTCGGTTATAGATTTTCATGGGACGTTAAAAGCATTCAAGTGGGGTGTGTGGTGGGGTGTAGGGGTGTAGGGGGGATGGGAAAAGGAATGAAAAGAGAAAAGTAGGTCAGAAACTAAATCGAATTACGATAGACGTTTCGATGACACGTTCACGTAGAAAGGAATAAGGGAAAAGAAAGGGGGAAAGGATGGAAAGAAGGATAGGATAAGGGTAGGGGGGAAGGTGGGGGAGGGGGTTGTAAGGAAGGAATACGTCTGACACTCTTTTTGTTTCAGGTATAAAAGTTTATGAATAGGAATAGTTAGTGATAATGTGTAAAGCATAATTTAAAATACTCACCGTTGTAACGTGATATACCGGAAGTACCGAGATTTTGTAACATCATGGCGGTCATATCCGTTTTTTGACGTGCGGTGTCGTAACGACGTGGATCAAGGGATGCGCCAGCTGGCAAAGATTTGAAACCTGCTGTATCCACACATTCTTCTCCCAATGATCCGCTGGATGCTGCCTCGATCACGTCCAAAGCTTTTTCTATATCCGCCTATTTCATAAATCTGATGTAAGTTACAGAAAAATGGCTTATGATGATGATTATGATGATGATCGGGGTAGTGATATCAAAGCCGAATAATAAGGAAAACAAAAGTTGCAATCATAATATATATAAGGGGGATGTGTGTGTGTGTGATGAATTATTAAATAAATAATTAATAATCGAACATTTTTTTGTGTGTGCGAGAGATTATATTATAATAATATAATTGTGTCATTTTAAGAATTTGAAATTTTTTTTAGAGAATATTTATTTATGATTAAGTGTACCAGATCTGAGCTTTTTCTATATTTGCCTATTTCATAAATCTGATGTAAGTTACAGAAAAATGGCTTATTATGATGATTATGATTATGATGATGATCGGGGTAGTGATATCAGAGTCGAATATTAAAGAAAACAAAAGTGGCAATCATAATATTGTATATATAAGGGATGTGATCAATTATTAAATAAATAATTAATAATCGAACATTTTTTTGTGTGTGTGCGAGAGATTATATTATAATAATATGATTGTGTTTTGTTAAGGATATATTTGTTTACGATTAAGTATACCAGATATCTGAGTATATAAGAAAAATAAAAATATATTAGTCAGAATAAATAATTATATTAATAATCGAACAAACTTTTTGTGTGCGAGAGAGATTAATTGTGTCATTTAAAAATTTGGACTTTTTCAACACAAATTTTTCGTTAAACGATGATGATACTAAATATGTGATGTAAAGAAAAAAAACAAACAAAAAAAAGACGAGTTAATATAATAATATTAAATAATATTCACACATTTTTACGATTGGTAACATAATCTTGTTATCATTTATGAATACGAAACAATTTAGAATATAATTTTTGAATTAACATTTGCAATAAAATATTACTGAAAAATATTCTGAAAATTGTTTGATATGCTCGTATAAATATTTAAAAAAACATCTAAAGGAACGAAAGATGATTAAAATGATAATGATAATGAGATTATTATTATTATTATCATTAGTAATAACATGATGATGGATATCATGATAATAAATACGATTATAAGATCATAAATGTGTATTTACTTTTTTGCTTTCCATAAAATTCTTTACGACCATGGTCGTGGCCGTAAAGAACGATGGCGTCGTTGTTGTACCAGCACCCGCCATCGTGACATATGCCATCATCGTCATCGTCGTCATCGTCGTCATCGTCGCAGGAAATAGAACGAAGAGCCA